GGAAGTTTATTTTAACTTTTATTATAGGTACTCCTGTAGTTTTAAATATTCTATTGTAATGTAGAAATTTTATTTTTCAACAAATTTTAATATTTATTAAAATTAATTGAAATGGATGCTTATATTAGGGACTATACAAAATCATCCAATTCAATCAACTGAAATTCAGATCCCAGCAGCTTTTAGAAATTATATTAACATTACAGACTTCAAAATTTTTCATATGAATATTCGCAGCGTAGCAAAAAACATGAATGAACTTCTTGTATTATTAGATAACATGCATGCGGAATTTGATTTGATAGTATTATCTGAAACCTGGCAGCTATATGATCATAATATCTACCATATTCAGGGATACGAAAGTATATACAATAATGGAAATCTAAACCAAAATGACGGCGTTTTGGTTTTTGTTAAAAATCATTTGAAATCTAATAAATCTATTGAATATATTGGGGATATTAAAATAATTTCTATCTTAGTCACAGCAAAAAATAAAAAAATTGAAATTAAATCCATATACCGATCACCTAGTACTTGTTTAAAAATTTTTAATCAGAAACTAATCAATTATTTAAATTCATTAAAAAAACACGATATAAGCATTATAACAGGTGACATAAATATAGACTTATTAAACAGCAATGATGAAACAGTAGAAGAATACAAAAATATAATGACCTCTTTTGGATACATTTCATACATTAACGAATACACTCGTTTACCTAGTCGAACATGCTTGGATCATTTTTATGTATCTAATCGCAACGCGCTTGAAGCTAAATGATATATTTTTAGATTTAATATTACAGATCACTGTCCCATAGCCTGCCCATAGCCCTTACGTTGGAAATAGAACAAAACAGCATTAAGATAAAACAACAATTAAAGTACAAATATTACATAAATTATCCAGTACTAAAAAATGCTTTAATATTGGAAAAATGGGAACAGGTATACAATGAAACGGAAGTTGATAATATAACTCTAAAATTTATTAATACTCTTAAATATCACATTAATCAAAATACACAAAAAGTAAAAATAAAACAAAAAATAAAAATATTACAAAATTGGATGAATCCTACATTAGTAAAATTAATTGATGAAAAAAATAAATTGTACAAATTAACCTTAAAACATCCCGATAATTTAGAAACAAAAAGGCAATACAATGTGCACAAAAATAATATAAATAAATTAGTTAAAAAAGCAAAAAAGGACTATTATAGAAAAATCATCCAAAAAAATCAAAATTCCTCCAAATCTTTGTGGGAGTGCATTAACAAGGTTTGCGGCAAAACGGCACCTAAAAAAACTATTGAAAAAATTAAATTAAATGGAACTGAAATACTGACGAATTGAATATTGCAAATGAATTTAATATATACTACTGTGAACTAGGCTTAAATTTAGCTGAAAAAATACCAAAAGTAACAAATTATACAGAAAATATAAATTGCTTAGAAAGTACTATGTTCCTTAGCCCTACTGATGAGGTTGAGGCCATTAATACAATTAAAGATTTGAAACTTAAGAAGTCACCAGGCCTCGATTGTATAATGTCTGAAACATTAAGGGAAATATCTAATGAGATTGCAAGTCCACTAACCTACTTAATAAATAAATGTTTTAGTACAGGCTCTTTTCCGAAAATTCTGAAAAATGGTCTAGTTAAACCACTTTATAAAAGTGGAAAAAAAACGGAAATGGTTAATTACAGGCCTGTATCACTGGTGTCAAATATTTCGAAAATAATAGAAAAAATAATAAAAATTAGACTTTGTTCTTTCTTAAAAAAATATAAAATTTTATCCAATCGGCAGTATGGCTTCAGAGAATCTAGGTCGACTGAAGATGCGATATAAGTTAACTTCTCTTATTTATAATTCGCTTGATAATAATATTCCTGCTGTGTGTATCTTCCTAGATCTCTCTAAAGCATTTGATACCGTTTGCCACAAATCGTTATTAAATAAATTGGAGAAGTATGGTATAAGAGGAAATACCTACAAACTCATTGAAAGTTATTTATCAGATAGGGATCAAATAGTAGAAATCGATGGAGTAATGAGCACACAGCAAACAATTACTTACGGTGTACCTCAAGGAACCGTTCTTGGTCCACTTCTGTTCCTTTTATATATTAATAGTATGCTTGCCTTGAATATTCAGGGTGAGCTCATCAGTTTTGCAGATGACACTGTAGTATTTTATAATTCATCCAACTGGCAAGATCTAAAAAATAAAATAGAAAATGATTTTCCTTTTATTACTAAATGGTTACAATTTAATAAATTAACGCTTAACTCTAGTAAAACAAACTACTTACCTTTTTCATCCTACCTAACTGGGTTACCTAACTTGGGGCCAATGAACATCGGGACGACTAACCACATTGTAGAAGCAGAGAAAGTAAAATACCTCGGTATTTCAATTGATCGTCATATGAGATGGGATCTACAATGTAAGGAAATAGTAAAAAAAAATAAGAGGTCATTTGCCAAAATTTAGGTATTTAAAGGAAATTCTTGAAGTTGAGGAATTAAAAGTCTTGTATTTCTCACTGGTTGACTCACTGCTTTCTTATGGTATTTTAGGGTGGGGTGGAGTAAATGACTGTTTCTTAAATAGTGTTCATATTGTACAAAAATGGCCTTTAAGAATCATATTCCAAAAAAATATTTTATTTTCCTCAGATCAATTATATCTAGATAAATTTTCGTTCAAAAAATATTGTTTTTTATATTTTAATCTTATGATTGTTTATTCTGTTTTTTTTTTGATTTGCTATAAATTTTTGTAATATTAACTAACATAGGTAAATAAAGTATACTATTCTATTCATCGCCTCAAAAATTTACCATTGAGCTTCCTATCTATTCACATTTCTCTAATCTATGACGCAAATTGAGCTTGGCGTTAAGTGATACAAAATATTAAATGAAGCATGGGTAAAAATGTAGTTTCTTGAACGCATGTGTCTGAAACAGTCTGAAAATTAGTCAGTTTACATTATAGCTAACTTCATTTTGTTGCAAGTGCAATATGGAAATATTTAGATTGTTAAGTGATGCATTGAAATTTGCTTTCAAATGATGTGTCACTTTTTATAATAAGTAACAGTTTTTTATCAAGCTAGATGGTGCTAAAATCAAAAGTAACGCAATTAATAGTCTTATTGCAGAATTCTCCAATACATTACCTTTTCAATGATAGTACATTCTTCCATTTAAATTTTAGAGATCATTCACGCCACAGCTCAAGGGTAAGTGCCAATGCTGTAATTAGAAAAAAAATGACCCCCTCCAAACTAATATCAACCTGTAAGAGCAATTGTTTGGTATTTGCATCAATAAGAAAAATCTGATGTGTCCAACACATGACTTTCCTATCTAGTTATATAAATGTTTAGAGGATAAACTAAATATATACATTGTCCACATACATCTACCTCGAAACATTTTTCTATAGATATTCATGGAAAACGAAAATACTGAAAAATTTTAATTTCCTACAATTTTTTCATTACGGTCCATTTTAGAAAAATCATGTATAAACAAAAATTATAGAGATCGATATCGCAAACAACTTTTATTTCAAAAACTTTCATAATAAAAATCAGAATTTTGCACATTTTGTCAAATTTCTCGAATACGGACCATTTCAGGAAATTTTTACATAAAACAAAAATTACAGATAATAATATTAGAAGTAACTTTTATTTGAACAATTTTCCTCTCCAAACATAAATAACAGATATATTCCATAAAATATAAAAACGGCCTCCCATAAAGTACCCCCCCAGATGTTCCGACTTTGTCCAAAATCTAATCGTTTCACGTCAGGCCGAAATAAACCTTAAGTTTAAAATTTAATGTTTTTTTCTTTATCTGTTTTTGAGTTTTTTTCAAAATTCGAAATTTACACATTTTCTCAAATATCTCGAATACGGTCCATTTTAGAGAAATTATGTAGGGAATAAAAATTATAGAGAATTATATTACAAACAACTTTTATTTGAACAATTTTTATAAAAAAATATTTTTTTTACATTTTGTCAAATTTCTCGAATACGGACCATTTTAGGAAAATTTTGTATAGAACAAAAATTATAGATAATAATATTAGAAGTAACTTTTATTTAAAGAATTTTCTTCTCCAAACGTAAATAACAGATATATTCCATAAAATATAAAAATGACCACCTATAAAGTACCCCCCCAAATGTTCCGACTCTGCCCAAAATCTAATCAGCTCATAAGACGCTGAAACAAAGCTTAAGTTTAAAATTTGGTGTTTTTCTGTGTATCGGTTCATGAGTTATGCGTTATACAGACACACACACACACACACAGACACACACACACACACACACACACACACACACACACAGACACACACACACACAGACATCATCGCGAAAATAGTCAAAACGGATTCAGGGGACCTCAAAACGTAAAAATCCATTGAAAACTCGAGGTCGAAAAAAATCATGATTCCTATACTTTCCTTATATCTGTATACAGATAGGAAAGTAAAAAAGCATAAGTGGATAATTTTCGGTGAGTTACCCTGTATATTGAACAGTTACAGAAGGACAGATTGCAAATGTCCAGCAAATATCGATAAGAAACAAATGACATTTACTGATATCAAAAAGAACGTTTTTTTATGCATATTACATTCATTGAAACAATCCTTTATATAATATGACATTCAATTTTCAGTAAAATATGTAGCATACTGAGGAAAATGATGGGTTACTAACGTATTATCATCCTACACAATGCCATTTGCATACCAGGTCTACAGGTGGTTATTTTATATTCAGTGTTTGTTCGCCCTCAGTCGTCGGTGCATGTTGATGTACCCTTCAAGTTTGATCGATATCAAAAATGGTAAAACATAAAACGTCACTGAAAACGTTCAATGTCATTTTGTATTTTAAAAAGTATATTGTAATATATTAGATATTAAATTTTTTACCCAAAAACATGTTAACAAATTTTCAAATATTAACTGAGAAGGATAGAAAGGAAGCTGCCGCTCTAGAAGCTCGAAGACGCAGAGATGAAGAACGAAAACAGCGAATTTTCAATCCTCGTGTTCGACTCATGGGCTTGGACATCGATGGCCTGGATCGTCAAGTAGAAGAGAGGAGACAAAAAGAAAAGGACGATAAAGAGGTAACTCAAATATTCCATAATCAGATAAAAAAAGCCGATGAACTGGCACTTTTTATGGAAAACAAAGAAAAAGAGGAACGCTTCAAACTCAACCGAAGAATTAACGAGTACAGAAGAAATTATCAACGGCCCGAAGACAGACGAGAGTTCGATTTAAACAATCCTGGCTATGTATTAAACCAAGTACCCTGCCGGGGTGTCGTAGACGATCCCAAATTAGGAATATCAGCTGCTCAAAAGTTCGAAGGCGAAGACCTAGCTGCAGATGCGAGACGTAAAATTCAACACGAAGAAATTAAATCTTGGCTGGGACAACAAATGAGAGAAAAAGAATTAGCGGAAAAAGACCAAAAAATGGCCGAAGAAGCGTACAAAGCAGCTATGCTGGCTCGAGATCATAGAGCTTTAGAACTAGAAGAAATGGAAAAGGAGTGCAGAAGAAAGTTACAAAAAGCGTGTATAAAATACAACGAAGCATTGATGAAGGAGAAAGCATTTGAAAGAGAACAGAGAGAACGGGAAGATACCGAAGACAAAATGGCGGATATATGCAATTTCTTAAATAGCGATTTAATGACTGAAAATCCCAATGTCGCGCAAAGTAACCTCGGTCCCAACAGAAGAATTTGTGCTTATTATAAAGGTATGTCGCTAGCTGAGCAGAAGGCCATAACGGTAGAACTGCAAACGCAAATCGAAGAAAAGAGGATCAGGAAGGAGCAAGAACGCAGAAGGGAAATGGAAATGGACAGTTACGTAAATGGAATTAACCGCGAAATTTATCTTATGGATCAAGATACTATGGCGAAGCAGAAACAGAGATACAAAGAACTAAATGAAGAAAACAGACGACTGGCTGAAGAACAGAATAATCGCAAGAAATTTCTAAATAAAGTCGTTTATACTGGAATGCCATCGGATGAATTTTACGATCAGTTCAATAGAGGCAGTAGATAAATAAATGGTGATACTTAAAATTAATGATATATTTATTATTTTTTATTTAAAATAAATAGAAAATCAACATCATAGTGTAATTATTTCTTATTGGTAAGGTAAAAAAGACGAATTTTTAAGTGATTTCTCTTAGGATTAGCCTTAGATTGGATTAGCATAGTTGGATTTAACTGAAACAATCAGAATACTGGTCCGAATTCAAATGTAATCATTGAGATTTGTAAGTTCTAAAAAAAACCATTTTAATTTTTAGGATCTTTATACTTCCTTATTATTAGTATTATGATTAAGGATTAAGTTGAACCCAAACAATGTAATGGGGACATTTACACTTGATTTATGATTAGTATTAGCATTAATATTTATGCTTAATAATTGACAGGTTTAACTTTTATGTTAAATCCTTATTCTAATTTTTTTTTTTTAATTTATTGATCTCAATTTATACAAGTTAATTAACCAGAACTAACATTAGTTACATGTAAATAAAAATAAAATTTAAAACATTATTTGGCTCTATAAAATTAAAAAAAAATGTTAACAATATTTTTTATAAATTAATGTTAGAAGATTTTAAAAATGACGTGATTATGAGTGCACTGCAAATTGGTTTTCGTAAATAATCATTTAAACATAAAGGGGAAAACTAGGGTCGAAAAGCTGAAACCATTTTTTGGTATAAGAATTTTATATTGTCTGTATTATTACTGCATTCCATCAATATATAACCTAATCTTCCAATTTCATCACAGCTGCAACTTGGGGACTCAGGGACACCAATTCGGAACAGATGAGCAGAACTATAGCAGTGACCAATTCTCATTCTGCACATTGTACCGATTCGTTTCTTTGTTAATTTCATTTTAAAAAACCAGGGTGTTCGAGGCAGTTTGTCTAATATATTAAATAGTTGTTTTCCCTTAGTTTGACTAAGTTCTCGCCATTCTTCACTCCAATCATCCCGAATTTTATTTTTAACTCTGGGTAGCATATTTCTCTATACTCCATTGTCATTACTTCCAGAGATAAGGGAGATAAAGATAGAAAACGCCCATAAGAACTCAATGCTTAACAACGACCAGCTTTATCGCAGCTAACATCTGATGACCCACTATGTGGCGCTTTCATTGATATCAAACAACGCTGCGGGAAATTTAAAAACCTGATAATAAAGGTTGTATAAATATCGAATGCACTCTCATGTTTTTGTAAATAAACTTAAACAATGTAATTAGCAAAGCTCCTCTATTTACATTTAAAATTTGGTCATACATTGCAAAGAAACGTAGCGCGTAGCTATTTCGTAAATGAACCGACATGCATTTCCTGGTGCGCTGTTGTCAGGCTGTGTAGTTTATCCCTTTCATATTTAAAAATAGTTTTTACCTATAACTCACTAATAGCAACACATTTTATTAATTAAAATAGTTTCGAGATATATTGCGACACATCAAAGCGTCCCCACCAATTCATTTTCGTACCTAGTGCAGTGTTTCCAACTCCGACGCATTGTGAGCCGAGATGTTGCAATATTTCCCGAAACATATCTAATAGTAAATCTTTAAATAAAATGACTTGTAACAAAACAAAAAACGTATAAAATGTGTACAAAGTAGATTAATCTAGTTTAACTGCTTTCAGCACACTTGATATTTTAGCAGCACCTATTTTTACACCATTAGGCAGGGCATTTTTGTACCTATCGTTTTTACATACATACGCTTGCTAAATAACAACTTTGCAAATACTAAGATAAACTATGGCAAACACCATTATTATTCCTGCAAATAAATGCAAGGATTTTAAAAGCGTTAAACGTGGCACCATCGAAATTTAAAATAACTTTGTTTCATTCATACTATACGTCACGGACGTCACGTATAGTATTTTATCCATCGATAGTTTGCGACGTTGCGATCCAGTAAATTGTTGCATATTGGGTGTTTTTGTTAATCTTTAGACTTTTTTTGGAAAAATTTCGGTTTGTGTATAGCTAACAACATGGTTCGCGAGTGCATTTTGAGCAAAAAACTGGAAAATGTAGGTGCAAAAGTATCTTTTCATAAGTAAGTAAGGTTAGGTGATGATGTATTGCATAGTTCAGTGGTGTAGATTTAAAGATTTTTGCCATAATATCACATGTATTATCTACTTTTATATTACTATTATTTTCTTTGATCTTTCAACATTATTAATTTCGCAAAAAATTGTAATTAATAGAAACATTTTAGTCTGGACTATAGTGGTAAAATAAATATGCTTATGCTTGATTTTTAGATTCCCAACTGAAAGGCATACAAGAATTATTTGGCTATCACTTGTAGGACTTGAAGAAAATGAAGGTATCTAAAAAAGAGTGTTATGCTCGGAGCATTTTGATCTTAATGATATTCTTCAAAAAGCAAATATCTCAAGTCTGGAGCACTGCCAAAACTAAGTTCATTGTTTCGAGAAAGCTCATTTAGGTAACTAAAAACTTTCTTAATTATGTTTTGGAAATTTTCATTTAAGTGTTTATCCTTTAAGATGAAAGTTGGTAGTTTACCTTACAAAGAAATTTTTATAAATTTCTTTAAATTTTGTAGGTCCTTAACAAGGACAAACTTTTTTATAAACTCATATTATATACCTCTTTCTTAGATTATTTTCATGAACTACCTTATTATTAATCAAAATGTATACTTACCTTTACGTTAAAAGTTCTGAATACTCTGTTACAGCTCTGACTCCAGTATCAGTATTTTTGACAGCTCTAGTAAAAAACCAGAAGATAATTTATCTATGCCGCACACATTTATGGATGATATGTTAGTTTACTGCCTAGTTTTATAAGTTAAAAACTATCAATGGATAGGTTTATTGTTGTACAGTTCTACGTGTTTTCGGATTTTACAAAATTCTTATTACCAGATCCGCTATAAGAAGCGTTCCATTTAAAATCCCCACCTTGTATATAAGTATGGTAAATTTATCGATTTAATAACTTTTATAATCTAAATTTTGATTTAAAAATCTTTCATTTACCAATTTGTAAAACTGTTCAAATTTTAACCTCAAAATTGAATTCGTAAATTTGTTTATAATAAATCTTGATTTATTTATCTTATTTTTGTTTTATTTATTTTATTTAACATCTTTATATGTAATAAATGTATTATTCTTGGAAAAAATAGTGTTTTTAAACTTTTTTCCTACATTCCACTGAACTTCATACCCTTATACCAAATCCAATCGGTTTTAAAGTTTAAACCATTATAAAGTTTATTGCACACCATATCGGTTAGTATTTCATTATTTTTTTATAATTAGTTATGATTTTATCTTTAATAAGATACGCCTCTGGTATTAACAGACTTTTTGTTGCGTACAACAGCAGCTTTGCCAGACGAGATTTTCGATTGCAGTCTGTCTTCTTTCGATCCGCATAAAATATCTTCTTTCTCTTTTCCGATGATTGGGACCAAACAAAACATACTTTATGAATGAAATGCATCATCTGTTGTTTATTTTATTTAAGGTAATTACGCTAAATTATTTATTAAAAAGAATACTACACTTACAGTTTATTATCGATTAATTATTGTAAATCTATATTCATGACAAATATTTTTTAATTTTTGATTGTTATTTGTAATATTGCATTTTTGTTTTTATTTTCCAAACGAATGTCCAATGGTATCTAATTTAAAAATGTTGAGTGCAAACTCAATAATGGGAATTCAGATATTTTTCTTCCTATATCAAATCTTCTCTTGTTCTAAAACAATAAATAATAAATAAATACCTACTTTGTGACAAAAGTTGATTACTATTTATGTTACTTACATAAATAGATCTTACCAGGGCTGGTATATCTAAGGGGGTCGCGACATAGGAGTCCATTTTGGACGCCATTTTTTTCGAAATAGTAGTCACATAGTAGTTGCCATTGATCTGGCAACGTGGCAACTTGGAGTCGCCAGGTTTACCAATATAAGAAAAAAAATCAATGTCATTTCTTAAATGATATTTCCATTATAAAATGCCCATATTTTTTAGGATAAAATATTTCAATTTAATAAATTATTAATCTCAGATGTACATAAAATACGTCTGGAAAAGTAGATCACTTTCAATTTTGTGCTGTTTTAGTTTTGTTTATTTTAAAAGGTAATTAAAGAGAGGAAGACAATTTTCTTATAGATGATGCATAACAAATTATTGCTCCCTTTTTTAGAGCTCCAGTCCCTTGAGTCTATTTATTTTAGGTCTTTTTAAATTGTTGGTAGGTATTATTCACTTCATTTGTATGTTTTTAGTTAATTTAAATAATTTTGTGTAATATCTTGCGATTTGTTTTCTATACATTTTAGCATGTATTTGTTGTCTACATCTTACAAAGGATAGATTTGAAATACCTTTACAACAGAGGTACTTTCCTAAAACTGGCCGAAATTTAAAACTGAATACAGTTCTTAGAGAAAATCTCCAGTAAAAAATGTCTGCATGTAGAATAACAGTAGCATAGAATAACAAAGCTGACAAAAGAGTTGGACAAACCTTTGTCTAGCTTTCTTAATATTTCAGGACAATAGTGTTAACAGCAGACTACAACAAAAACATCCAAAGTTTAGTAATCAAGCAAAATATTCCGGCATCTATATTTTTATTCAAAACTTTTCTGCTTCTACTCCAATACTAACCATATAGAAGCATATGCATTTTATAGTATTTGCAAGATTCGGATCAAATGTACCCACAATTTATAAAAATTATTAAACTAAAATAAAACATTTCAAATAACACCTGCTTTTATGTTAAATATGTTTTTATTAAATACATAAATTAGTCTCAACCACACATTTTTTTTTGTTTTTACTTCTAGTGTAAAAGTGACTACTAATTCAGTCTTTCAAGTTTATTATTTATAGAGACCAGCTACTACAAAATATCTTATTGATGATAACTGATTTCTCTTTAATAATGGTTTTGCATTTATTAACATTTTACAGCACTTTGTT